TGAAGAACAGCTTAAACATATACAAACATAGAAAAATACGATCAAAAATCGTCCGCATATGTTTGTTTTCATATTTTTGACTCTTCCTCCTGTAGAGGGACAGGCCCGACTTCAGACAAGATGGGCATGGGCAGGATCGGTATCGGGGCACTGGCTGTCGCCGTCCCAGCGGCATGCGGCCCAGCGTGAAGAGAGCTCCAAAGCCGGAGCAGTGCTGTCCACGAGGGGCCCCAGACCTCCCACGTCCTGACAGAAACCATCAACAAAGGCCTCCTGGATGGGGTCTGCGTAGATGGCGTCGGAGGAACTCGCCGCATCGCCGATACATCGGCGATGCACTGGCGACGTCGGCGATGCATCGGCGACGTCGGCGTGGAACAAAAATCGGGCTCCACATCGAGCCGCATCGCCGATGCATCGCCCGATGCATCGGCGATGTGGCGCGACCCTTCGACCCCATCTGCTCGGACCCAATGTAGGAGGCCTAGAATCAAGGCCCAGGTTTTCTGTCGTGCTCGTCGCCGGGGGGGGCCCTCGTGGGGCCTCGCGGCCGCGAAAACGGCTCAGGTTGAAGTGCCACCCCTGGGGGTCGAGACTTCTCCGGGGAGCCAGTTTTGAACAAAAGCAGGACAGCGGATGTCTGGGGCAGGCTGCCGAACGGTGAGAAAGCACAAGGGCTTGAGCAGCGCACCGCCACGGCAGGTTCTGGTCACGATGGCGTGTGCCTGCGTGACACGTACAAGCCACTAGAAGGAGGCTCAGTCAGAACAGGTGAGATAAACGAGGTAACGAAGAGGGTTGAACTGCGTCAGGCACCAAGGCTGGCTCTCGCTATTTACAAGTGGATCTGTCAACTCCTGAGCGACCACGTGCCTCCGACAGCGCAGATTGTTCGGTATCGGCCGATGCCGGGCCACTGGCGGCGTTCAACCTGGAACGCTGGCCCAGACATCCAGTGTATTGTTCCACATATCCTGAGACGGGGTTGTGTTCCCCATATCCTAGGCTGGGGTTCTCGTTGCTCCCTATATCCTAAGAAGGGGTTCTTGTTATTACTTAGACGGTTTCGAAAGAACCTCCTGCTCCTCCCCTCCCCTCCTTTCTCTTCCTCAATGAGTTTGGCTCACTCACACTCAGACTCAGCCGTAATGACTCACTCTCACTCAAACTCACCTATATTCAATCTCAATACACTCAGACTCATTCGCACTCAGAGTCACTCACACTTCGACTCATTCACTCTGGGACTTACTCACACTCAAGCGAACTCACATATACTCCTCTCATACTCGTACTCATACTCGTACTCACACTCAATCGTACTCCATGGTGGTCCACTGATGACCGCGATATAAACAACGTCTTGGGCACCTAGAAGGGGGCGCCAAGGGCCAGGACACTCCAGGACTCGCATCCAGATTGTGGGGTTGCCTCAAGCGGTTTGCCTGTTCTCGTGCCCAACATCCTCAGGTTCTGAGGATGTCTAATGCGAGGCGCTGATTTCAGCACTCCTAAATAGGGGCGCCAAGTGTGAGGACACCCCAAGGTTCGCGCCCAGATTGTGGGGATGTCCCACGCGGTTTGCCTGCTTGCGTGCTCAACATCTTCTGTTTCGGAATCGATTATGAGGCTGTCTCAGCCGAAACGCAGGTTCCAGCACTCCTAATGGAGGGGCGCCAAGGGTCAGGACACGCCAGGATTCGCGCCCACATTGAGGGGATGTCTCAAGCGGTTTGCTTGCTCGCGTGCCCAACAACCTCTGCTGTCGGAGCAGCTTGTGACGACGCCTCCGGCGGTTTGCCAGTTTCTGCCCCCCTTAAGTGTTTTCTTTTGGTGGCCCAATGTTCACCACGATACAGCCGGCGTTGCATTTTGGCACCCCACGGGGGAGCCGCCAGGGCTGAGGACACCCAAAGGTTCGCGACAAGGCTGGGGGAATGTCTCCGGCGATGTTCTCCTCCAGGTTTTTTTGGGGGGCCCAATGCTCACGAAGGCGTGGCAGTCGGGAGCCCCAAGGCGGAACCGCCAGGGATGGGAACACCTCAGGACTCGCGTTCAAAATGGGGGAATGTCTCAAGGGGTCTGCCTGATTCTGCCCCTCCATATTTTTCTTTGGACTTGTGTGTTCCTCACCCATTCCTCCATTCACTCACTCACCTCCGTCCCAGCTTTCCCACTCGGACGCACTCATTCGCACTCGAACTTACTCATGAACACCTCTTCCCCGCTCAGGCTCACTCATCGCATTCAGACTCGCCCATAATCATACTTGACCATACTCAGATTCACGCGTACTTACTCCCTTACACCCAGACGAAATAGCTCAAACTCAGACTCACCCGCACGCAGACGAACTCACACTCAGAGTCACCAGCTACGTAGACTACCTCGCACCCAGGCTCACTCACACACAAATCTGTATTCATCACGCTCAAACTCAGACTCGCCCACACTTACACTCACTCGCACTCAGCCCCATTTGCACTTAGACTCGCTCGCACTCAGACTCGCTCATACTCAGGCCCACTCGCACTCACACTGATTATATTTAGGCTCACTCACATGCAAGTTCGATCATACTCTGGTACACTCAGATCGCCCACGCTCAAATACATTCGCACTAAGGCCCACGCACACATAGCTACCGCAATCAAGCCCGCGCGGCACTTGGGCACCCCAACTGACGGCAGGCGCCGCGAGTAGCACGCTTCAGTAGCAACGCCATGCGCGCTTGCCTGAACTACCGCGGGGAGAACGGACAGAAGAACTCCCCTTCGCTCTTCCGTTTTTGTTTCCCTCGTCTCGCCTAATAGATGTCAAGAGGAGGAGGAGGTGAAGGAGGAGGAGGAGGAGGAGGAGGAGGTCACTGAAGTCGTCGCTGTCGTCGTCGTCGTCAATGCCGCGCCTGTCGTCTACGCAGACTCGCTCTCACACTCAGATGCTCAAAGACAGCGTTCCTCAGCGAAACGTGACAGGAGCATGAGATGCCCATATGGGGATCTCCGCGTCGAACAATTTGTTTCAAAACGGGGCCTCTGGCTCTTGATAATCAAGAGCCAGGGACCCGTCTCTGACTGCGCCCAGGCCCAGCGAAGCCCAGCCATGCTTTCGTCGAAAGACGCTGGATGTCTGGGGAAGGCGGAGGCGGACAGCGAGGCTCGGGGTGGCGCAATTCTGGCCTAAGTGCAGAGGTGGGGTTTAAAGAAAATCGTTCTGAACGTCTCCTGGGGGAAGGGCCATGGGAGCATGTAGATGGGTTCGCTCCTGGACCCCACCCTGCTGAGATAACCTTTCGTCTACGTGCCCCCGAGTTGGGGCTTCAAAATTGGTGCACGGGGCAAAGGTAAGGTTCGAGGATTATCGCTCTAAACGGCTCCAAGAAGAAGAAGAATAATAATAACCAAAAAAGGAAAAGAAAAAAGAGCTGTGAGCATCCAGATGGGTTCGTGGCCGAACCCCACCCTGGGATGACCCTCCCTCTGCGCACCCCCGAGGGGGGAGGGGTCGGAGGATGTGGGCCGCCCCGGAAACCCCGACTCTGGACCCCCTGGCGTGCAGACTGCCGCGCCCACCGGGCCGCTGCCCCTGCAGCTGCCCCCACGGCCTGCTCCCTGCCGAACTCCACGGGGCCTTACGACCGTCGCTCTCCGCCGTCGGCAGGCAGAGGTCAACCTCCGGACCCCTCGAGGGCATGACCCTTCCTGGAGCGCCCTGTGCGGCCCACTCGGGAGAACCTGAGCACAGGAAGGCGCAAAAGTCTTGGGGCGGCTGCTCTTGCGTCCGCCGCCTTCCACAAAGATCCCACCGTCGGGCCCGACGCCGTTTTGCTTCCGCCAGCTTGCGCCCGCCGCCCGCCGAAGCAGAGATGCCAATCTCTCGCTCCTCCAGAGGTAGAGCCCTCTCTGTCGAACCCCTCGTTGAAGAGACAAAGAGACCGATACCGCTACTCTTTGGACCTTTCCCAAGGTGCGTTCTGACCAGATTTCGAGGAGGATCTAGCCGTGGCGATGAGGGCTCTCCATGAGTTTTCATGACGAACACTGTGAGATTCGAAGCCGGCTGGACCGGGATATCCTCGATTGTTGCCAAAGTAGGTGCAAGTACGCGTGCGACACGATAGCATGAGTGTAAATTAAGTACGGGTCGAAAGAACGAGCCAGGCGAGGTGCGTGAAACGCAAGTGAGAATATGTGCAACGAGAATGTAAGGGTACGAACAAATGCGACCGCACATCCAAAGTACAAACAGTACATGAGAACAACAACAAAAACAACGCCTGTAAAAGTGTTACACATGTACGAAGTGTGAAACAAAAAAAACAAGTATCTCTCGCACGCTTCCCTCACAGTTCGGAGTTCTAGAATTTTGCACTTCGCACTTCTGCACGGCACTGTCCTCGTACTCGTACTTCGGCGTGGTATTTTTCCTATTGAAATTGGAGTACGCTGCGTTTCTCTGGGGGCGGGTCCACTGCAGCGGGCCGGAATCTCTCAAGACGAACAGCGGTATCGATGTCTGTCCTCCTCGGACATATAGGGGAGGAAGAGAGGAGAACAGGAAGAAGCAGGGGATGTATGATGCGGACATGTCCAAACATGCAACGTGTTGACAAAAAAACGAGGTGCGTCGCCGTTTTCGACCTCTGAGGGTCCTTCCTGGGCCCCGCGGCCGTGAAAAACTCGTTGGGATGAAGAGCTTGCTTTGGGGAAAAAGCCAAGACTTCTGGGAACCCCGTGTTGAATGGATCGAGGCATCGGATACCTGAAGGAGCGTGGAGGGGGGGCACGGGGAGCGGCAGCGGCAGAAACACAAGAAGACAGTAAACAGAGAGGGGGACGGCGGCGCGCAATAAAGAGAGCTCGAGTGCGCGCGCCAGCTCGCAGCACGAAAAAACAAGCCAGCCCACCCTGCAGAGCGGACCAGGAATCCACGCCCCGGCCTCAACCAGGCTTGCGTGAAGTTCGACAAGAGAAAGCGCCGTGATCACAGGGACAGCTCGTTCAGTGGCTGTCGCTCGTCGACGCCCGTCTTCTAAACCAGCGCGACCATCTGGACGTTTTCTCTGCTGGAACATGGTGATCGCCTGGGAGAAAATACGATGCGTACTCATCCATTGAGATCCGCTGATCGCGGCCAGCAATGAGTTTAAATTGGGTGCGGATTGCTTGAACTTGTTTTTTGGAGGCAAGCCCGTGTTGGACAAGTTGCAGCTTCATAAACTCCACCTCGTCCAATTGACCATCGTTGTTCTCGTCGCTCTCCCGGAACAACTCGAGAGTCATCTGAGACTGGACATCCGCACGTAGACTTTGGTCGATGACGTTGGAGATACTGCCCAACAGCCGAACCGTGACGGCCACGCTGACTATCATCCACAATGTTGCAAACACTCGCCCGATCTTGGACTGGGGCACGATATCTCCAAACCCGACCGTCGTCATGGTTATCACGCTCATGTAGAGTGCGTCGATCCAGGTATAAACTCGCCCACCGTTTTCGTCGCAGTCATTGTCTAAAAGTTCAGCGTTGCACCTGTCCACCATCTTAAAGAAGAGAACACCTGTTAGCAAACAAACTATAAAAACAATGGCACTGACGCTTACCTCTGCCCGGGCTCGATGCCACCGCTCTGCCCGCTGCTTGACTGCAATATCCTTCGGTAACACCAGCTCCTGCTTCGAACGGGAACGGTCATCCTTAAAGGCTGATGACCATTCCTCTTCCGCATTCTTTAAGTCGCTGATCTTGTCAGTCATTGTATCCATATCGCTTGCTAGTTCGTCAGCACCCTTATCTACGTACTCAGCAACAGAAGCCATAATTATGTTGGCAACCAGCAGCGTGGAGCTCATCACGATGAAAGTACAAGCTAGTTTTTCCGCCTGGGAATGGGGAACGAAGTCGCCGTAGCCGACAGTCGTGATGATCTGCACCATGAGGTAGATGGTCTTTACGCGGTCTGTTCCCGCAAGCGGCCGGAGGGAGAGCGGAGAGCGAACGATCTGGACAGGATGAGATCACGAGGAACTCCTGTTGCTTCGCGTTTCGACAGCAACTTCATCGGCGAAGTTCGTCTCGAAGCGAGCACACAAAACTGATGGCACTACAAATATGCCGCAGGTGTTGCGAGAGATGTTGTAAAACTCATGTCCAGCAACCACCTGTCCGATCATGCCCCCGATCGTAATGCCACATCACGGGACATGGCCACACCGCCCAATCAAAGTGCGGATGGCGATGGCGGAAGCCACAAAGATCCGATCACAGTGTCACCCAACCCGATCACTGAGAGAATGAAGGAGAGAAGGAGGCGGAGGAATGGACGGGGGGGAAAGCGAGGGCGAAGTGGAAGGAGAGAGTTGGCCCGTGATCGCATCGTGGAAGACAACGCACGCCCACCTCGAAAGGCAAAGGTCACTTCACTACTCGCCCCAAGCTGGTGCCCTTCAAAAGGATGTTCGCCTACCAGCGTATCAAACTGCATGTGGCCACGACAGGAAGGCTCACAATCAGCTGTGCAATACAGAGGGTCGATGCAGAATGGAATGCATAAACAAGAACCTGCATCGCCCATTTGAATTAGAACACAGCAGCAGTGGGCATGATACATGCAGCATGCAGCTGATTTGATGGAACAGGGTTCAGCGGGTTGTGTTGGCTGCTATCCCTGGAACGCGTAGCCAAAGATACCTAACCGAGCGCTCCCACATTGCTTCCGCAATTGCCATCCAAATCGCTAGTGAAGCCAGTGCTCATTTCCGCGTGATACGAAACGAAAAGTAGGGCACAGTCAGCACAGCCCTGGGAGGCTGCCTTGAATAGTCTGGATCGGAAAGTGCCTCTCGGAGAGCGAAACCAATGTCGCGACGGTCGAACGACCCGATCAGCGAGTTGGGTATCACGCGCAGGCTGGAAGATGACGCGCGTGTCACTGATACAATTCAATTCATCCCAAGCCCTGTGGTCAAAGAACACCCGCTAGCATGAAACAGCGACGTCCAATGCGAGAAAAAGCAGAAATAGCGCGCTCCCGGATCGGTCCGAGGTTCATCGAGGCGAACACGCAGGCGCCTCGGGGGGCAGCACACCCACACACACCCACACACACACACACACACGCACACACACACACACACACACACACACACACACACACACACACACACACACACACGCGCACCGCCACTGGCACCTCCGCTCTCCCATCGGAGGAGAAGGCTGAGTGGACGGAGCGAACAGAACTGGAGAAAGTGCGCGGGGGGTAAGGGGTTGGGGGAGAACAGAGGCGGGAGGAAGAAGGGCAGGAGGTGGAGGGTCATGGGGGCCACGAGGAGCAGGAGGCAGGAGGTCACCCTGTGAGGCAAGCGAACCTTGCCCTCCCCACGCCACGAGCGCAGGGGGCAGAAGCGGGGCAAAGCTTGCCCACCCAATTGATTTCCCTGAGATCCGACGTCTCGGAAAAGTTGAGACATCGTGAGTAATCACGACTGAAGCCCCCGGACCCCATCTTTCTGCGCCATTCTTCGAGCCGGACCGATCTGTGAGGGTAAAAGGGCCCAAGACTGGGCGACAACGTCCAGCTCGAAAAGATTGAGCCGCCAGGATCCCAAGGTTGGACCGCCAGACTTGGCAATTGAGAGCTGCCTATAGAAACCTGCCCTGCCTATGCCGCCGCCGCCTGGCTCATCACGGGAATCCCGCCTCTCGCCAGCCCTGGTCCCTGCGGCGGCCCCTCGGCACCGGCTAATTAGAAGGCCCGCGGCGGCCGAGGGGCGCCGCCCGGCCTCATCCTGGGCATGGGGTGGCCGACCCGGCGGACGAGCCAGCGCCGTTCCTTTTGCTCCTCCTCCTCCTCCTCCTCCTCCTCCTCCTCCTCCTGAGTCTCCTCATCCTCGTCTGCGTCTTCCTTCTCCTCCTCCTCCTCCTCCTCCTCCTCCTTCTCCTCCTCCTCCTCCTGCTTTGCTCTAGCTCACCCGTTCGTGCCACCACTTCCGCCCGCTCCCGCTGCCTCCTCCGCCTCTTCTCGCACTCCTTCCGGCCTGGGAAACGCGAGCCGGCACTGCTTGCACGAGAATACGGGGGAAGCGTTGTGTCCTGTTTGGTCCACGCGCAGTCCGTTGCAAGCCCTCTGTGTGATCCAGGCGGCTCGGGGAAGCACGCCAGATTTCTCGTGCCGGCAGTGGCACTGTATTGCGAGCTGTTGCGCCCATGCTTGCGCCCCCATCTCTCCCCACCCCAGCAGCACTCTTTGGACTGCCCGCCTTGGGCAAAGCCTTGGGGACGTGCGCAGACAGCCCCCCAAAGTAGCACACGCTGGCCTCAACTGGTGGGCCTCCTTTCCACCGCCACCACCATAAGTAGGATGGGGAGGGGGTCCTCCTCCTCCTCCTCTTCCTCCTCCGCCTCCTCCTCCTCCTGCTCCTCTTCGTCGTCCTCCTCCTCCTCATCCAACTCATGGTGGTGGTAATGGAAAAGAAGCCCATCATCAACAAAGCCCCATGGGGCAGCCCGGGGAGGCTTCGAGACCCCAACCCCCTGGGCGCAGAGCGCCCAGCCACAGGAGGCGGCGCGGACGTCTTGAGACAGTCGCGGGCCGCGGGAGCCTGTTGAGGCCAGCCGGGGCCTTCTCTGCTTGCTGTCTGCGCGCAGCACCAAGCGCCCTGCCGCCTGCCTTCAAGCCGTCCTGCGCTCGCATCCAAGAGTCAGGGTTCACCTTCCGCCGCTGCTGCTGCTGCTTCCGCGTGTGCCTCGCAGGCACGCCTGCCTTCCATGCCGCATGCCTTCCTGCCGTCCTGCCACCTGCCGTCCTGCCGCGTGGCACGAAGCAGACGGTTCCTGAGGAAAACGGACCCTGGGCCCCGGGGCCCACAGGACCAACTTAGATCATTGTAAATTGTATTGTGGAGGGCCCGGGGCCAGGGAAGGGCCCCAGCGGGCCGAAAGCGGTGAAAAACCTCCAGGACCCGTTTCTCACAGGACCCCGTTCCTTCATGGCGAACCTTCCTGCCGCACGCCTTCCTGCCATCATACCAACCTACCGTGTGGCTTCGGAAAGGGGTGTGGTGCAAACATCTGCGGTGCTAGTGCAAAAAAACAATGTTGCCCACAATAGCCGCCAGTACAACGCATCATGATTCCAGCTGCACTTGATTTGCGGCGACCGACTCAAACAACGTCAAAATTCTGGATTCTCACTTCCCTGGATGGCCGCCGTCCGACCTATGCGGCTACAAGACGACCCATTCCAGGACGTGCGATCGCCGAACAGGCGATTCTGGAAATTCCGACCAACCAAAAACATGCTTCCCGAATTTCCGCGCCGACGCCGGATCTACAAAAGACGGAACTTACGGAATTTAGACATTGCGCCAAGACGAGCCAGAATTCCAAAACACAATAAAGCAATTCCCAAATAACACAAAACTGACATCCACCAAAGACTAAGCACGTAGTTCCTGAATGTCTGGAATCACGTGCGAGGCGCAGACGTCCTGGAATGGGTTGATGTGTCTGCAAATTAGAGCGTGGTCTTCTTGATGAATTGGGAGTCAGGTTTCTGACTTTGTTTAATACAGCTGTCGCAAAGCAAACGCACTGGCAATCATGATGCGTTGTCCGTGCGGCGATCGTTCATTACATCGCAAACGATGGCGCTTGCACCGCACCCCTCTACACCACAACGCTTTTCGACCCGGCATCCTTCCTGAGTCGTCTTCCCCGACGGTCGGCGGCTCGACTTTGCCGGGACGTGGGCCGCAAGGCCTCCCAAAACCCCTTCCCCGAGGCTGGTTTTCCATCCCTGGGTGGGTGTTTGGCGGCCTTCGGGGCCCGAGCGGGGCCCCCGAAGGCCCAGCAGTGCAGAACAAAAACGGCCGCCGGAGGCCCGGGCGGCGGAGAACTCCCCCCTGGAGCCTGCGGCCGCCAGCACACCACGCGCGAAGTGCTGCACGCTCTCTGGGCGCGCCTCCCTCCTCGGCCCCCACTCCGCGGGCGCTCTCTT